ACCCTTAACTCCACTTCTTTTTTCCCAATAGGACTCAATGTCAGATGGTTTCAAGTGCAAAGCTACGACAACATTTTCAGAAGTTGGGTCTTGTTCTAAACCAGTGAAAGGTACTCGCTCCAATATAGGTAAACCAAGTAACTTAGAGAATTCTTCCAGTGTAGGCACTAGTTTATAATCGAGAAATGTGAAGCAATGGTGCTTAGGGTCAAAGAATTGGAATAAGACACTCATCAAACCTTCGTCAGACCTGGTGGTAACCAAAGTGAGCAAGTGACCATGTATTTTGTGGAATGATGAGTCCTTGGGGACTTTCAAGACTAAATCCTTGATTTTAGAAGGAACTTCTGGGAAGTGAATCCGGATGGTTTTTCTGCGACCTGGATTCATATCCTACAAAACAGCCAAGAGGTAAATCCAACAGGTCCTTGAAATGATTAGTATGTATGAATTTCATGATGTTTATGATGTCATGATTATGCTAAAAATCATAGATAAACATAAGAAAATCACACAATAGACCTTAGGTTCAAAGGCTTGCATGAGTTTTTAAGGTATGTACCCTCTTGAATATTCAGTTGGCTCAACCTGTCCTATTAATAGTAATCGGGTTCTAAGGAGCCTCAATATCACTGACCTTCCCTTTAGAAATTGTTTCAGCTTCGCACCAAAGTATTGCAGCCCAAAAATCCTGAAAGTCCAGCCTCAATGAGTGTAGTATCGAGTATCAACCAATCTTTGGTCGAAACCAAAGCCGGTTATCTCACTACTTCCTAATGGCTAGGATGAGTCAATTAAAGGTTCTAAAGTACAGTTAGAGCTTAGTGACACTATGAGGAAGCCTAATGTTATCCTTAAGTTACTCAAGGAACATTAGTACAGTCCAAAGTATTGCACTAGCGTAGCCACCACTTTATCTGTATCGGTCTACAGCGTATAGCCTCCATAGTTTATTGTTAATTACCTAATAAGGTGCTCTATATCCGGGTATAGGATCTTTACAAGAATACCCCAACAAACCCTCAAAGATAAAGTAGTTAAAGCAAATAGAGAAAGCCATTTAAAATGATCTAGGCCCTAAGGTAAACCCCACTTTATAATAAATCACCAGCAGAGTCACCAGTTCTGTGATACGGTGGCAGAACCAACTTTTAATACTGGTTTGCGTTTTTGTTTGCAAATGTAGCGGTAAGTAAGAGTCGCCACCTACTTTTCTTTTATCCAAAAAAGGAAAGGGGAAAAGAACAGAAAATACCTTTTTCAAGATTTCTGAGTAAGGGGGGTAGATTATGGAAAGGGAAGGTGTTAGAACCCTTTCCATCCATGGTTTTCCATGAGCTCTTAGGTACTCGCTCATTTTTGAAATTGCTTTCGTGTTTGTGTGAAAATTTTTTGAAAATGCCTTAGTGTGGCGATTCACTTTATGGTAACTCTTGTATCATCCTCAAGAGTGTGATAAAGCGTTTTGAAAACTTTGTTTAAAAAGTGTTTGAAAGTGTGGTGTGAAAGTTTGTTTGAGCAAGTACCTAACAGTTATCTACCTACTCGAAAAAGACTGTTATTTTCCTCCTATCCTTTAGACCGTGTTATCCTACTATTAGTGAGTAGGTAACCCTAGTCGTTGGATGTTGAGGGACTATCGAAAGGGACGTAATGATCATTGAAGGCAACATGTAAGGATACCTTAGCATTTCGAAGGGACTATCATTATAAGATCCTTTCTTGTAGGTAACTTGAGGGACATTTAGGGACTATGATCTTTATGATGACTTTAAACTGAGGGTCTTTACTAAGAGTATTAGGGATGGCAACGGGGTGGGTCGGGGGCGGGTTTAGCTAACCCCGCACCCGCACCCGCAACTCCAGTAATAGACTCGCCCCCGCCCCCAAACCCGCCGGGGGATGGAAATTCACCCCCAGACCCGCCCCCATTGGAGAACGGGTCACCCGCACCCGCACCCGCCCCCACCCGCGAAAACTGTTTTTTTTAAATAAAAAATATCTATTTTTTTCACAAATTTCCTGGACAGCATTAACAAATACATTAAAAATACAAAATTCGCCATTGATTTGAGTAAATAATTGTAGGATTTAATATTCAAACACCATTCCAAATATTTTTCTATCATAACCCTTCAATCAACTATAATTGGTTGTGAACTTGTGATTCATTAAAAGAGTGTAATCTTTCAATATATCAAAGTATAAATCACTCCCAACAACCAACAATTTTTTTGCAAAGTACAAATACAAAATTAAAACAATACAATCAACAAAAGAACCATTCCAACAACATGGAACAAAATAACCATTCCAACAACATGGAACAAAATATACGATATCATCATAACAAAAAAAGATCCAAATAAACAACAAATTTTCTAATAATCTTCATCTTCGAGGCGAGAGTTGGAAATAGAAGTAGCACCATCAATCAACAACTCACCTGTGTTAAAAAATAAAAGTTAAAATATAAAAATTTAACTTGACAAATTTAATACAAATAGTATGAATAATACCTTCATCATCAGACTCCATTTCAGTTAGTAAAATAGCATTTTCATTTCCCACGTTAGATTTCAAATTACCTATCAATATAGTAAAATATAGTCAATGATAGTCTTGGCAAGTAAAAATAAAAAATAAAAACAAGAAAGATCTTTACCATTATTCTCAGCACTCCATAACCAACTTCTTGCACACATCAAAGCTTCTAAAGTGGTCCAATGAAGTCGACTTCGATGAGGGCTTACGATATGACCACTTGTACTAAATGCGGATTCAGAAGCCACGGTAGAAACAGGAATTGCCAATACATCCCTTGCAATTGCTTGAAGTGTTGGATACTTAATCCCATTCAACTTCCACCATAATAAAATATCAAAATCTGGACTTCTTGGTAAAACTTCCTCTTCCAAATAAACATCCAACTCTGTTTTAACAGATGAAGTTCTAGCTCTTTTTTTTCTTATGACATACAAATCATAGTCTTTCAAACCATCATTACTAACATTTCCAACATTAGCATCCAACATTTCAGATTCACTTCTAGAATCCTTGTTCATTTTTAATTGATAATCATAAACTAACTCGTAACACAACTGTCTGATTGACTTAACTTGGGAATCAATATCATTCCCATAGAACACTCCATAATAATATTCAAGCAAATCAGTTTTATACCTAGGATCCAAAACAGCAGCAACCACCATTATTTCATGAATCACACTCCAATATTTTTCAAACTTTACCAACATATTTTCTGCCATTCTTTTTACCAATTCGTCAGAGGATTCAATCCACTCAAGTAATGAAACTTTAATCTGACAAATCTTAGGGAAGTATTCATTGGCAGTTGGATACTTAGTTCCAGAAAACACTTCAGTGATAGAATTGAACAATTTCAATTTTACACAAATCTCTTTTGCAAATTTCCAATGTAAAGTTGTTGGCAAACAAGTGTACTGAGTTACACGGATTGCTAATCTATCAAATACCTCTTCATACAAAATAGCAACATCAAGCATCTTATAGGTAGAATTCCATCTAGTTGGACAATCTAAAACTAAATTCTTGGTGCAAGGTATTTTTAATTGTTTACATGTCTCCTCAAACCGTTCCTTCCTTTTAGGAGTTGCTGTCCAAAATGCAACGCTATCTCGAATCATCTCTATTCCATCTTTCACAACTTCTAACCCTTCTTTTACTATCAAATTTAGTATATGTGCATAACAACGCATATGAAGTAAGGCCCTGTCCCTTAATAATGTCTCTGGTTTCAACTTAGCCTTAATTTTATCAATCATTGCATCATTTGTGCTACAATTGTCCAAAGTGATAGTAGACAATTTTGAATCAATGTTCCAATCCATCAAACATTCAACCAATGCACCACAAAGGTTTTCACTAGTATGAGGTGCAGGAACATAAATGAACCTAACATAATAAGATTCACAAAACTAGTATAAATGTGATTTACCTCAAAATGTGATTCACAAAAATATATATAATATGCAATTAATCTATTATTAGAAGAAATTATATTTACCTCAAAATGTGATTACAAAACTATATATAATATGCAATTAATTTTTTATTCGAAGAAATTAGATTTACTTCAAAATGTGACTCTGTAAATTCCAGTTTCCATCAATGTAATGAGCAGTGACAGCCATATATCCCTTTTTTTGATTGCTCGAGGTCCAAAGGTCAGAAGTAATAGCCACTCTTCCTTCAAGATTTTCTAACAACTTCAAAGTTGATGATCTCTCCATATTGTATACTTTGAGTATCTCCTTCTTTATAGTATTTCTACAAGGAACTTGAAATATTGGTTGGAGAGAAGTTGAGTATCTTCTAAAACCAATATGATCCACTATTGAAAGCGGATATTCATGCAAAATAATTGCATGTGCAAGCTCTTTCTTAGAATTTTCTGCATCATAAATTCCAGTACTCAACTCTTGTTTACCTTGCATGGATCTAGGCGTAAGAATTGTTTGTCCTTTATCAGATAGGTTCAAAATCTTCTTTTTAGGACAACATCCCAAATGTCCTTTTAAATGTGACGTCCCATCATTTGATGATCCATTAAGCTTCTTTGAGCAATAATTACATTGAGCCTTATCTTTTCCGTCAACTTTGACCTTTGTAAAATGATTCCATACAAAACTTTTCTGTCTGGATCGATGACTTGTGGTTGTTTGTCTATCAACCTCCATAATATCATTTGGCGTGGGAGGAGGAACATCAACTGATTGGTTACCACTTTCATTGGGAATTGGTTGATGTGTACTTTCTTGTGAGATAGGTGGACATCGTATTTGAGAGGTATCTTCATTTTCCATAACTAATTATCCTGTAAAATAGTTAAGTTGTACATAAGAATAAGAATAAACTAGTATTCAAAATAAGAATAAGGATAAACTAGTACTAATAAATGAAATATATAATAAACTAGTATTAATAAATGAAATATATAATAAACTAATATTAATAAAATGAATGAAAGTGAGTGCAGTTGGACGGTAAAACAAAATGGATTTTCTAATTTAATACTATTATAATAAGAGTACAAAATTGTTGAATGTAAAACAAAACAGCATCCAATTTAATACTAAAAAATTGTTCATTCTTTCATGGATTCTTCATCATAGTGTCCACCCTTTGAATACTCTAGCAAGTACTATCATGTGTCTGAAAATGGAGGTGGATGTGTGAGACAAACAAGTTTCTTTCAAGGAAAACCTCTTCTTAACCAAGGAGTTGGATATTCAATCATTCTTGGTTTTGGTGCTTTCTTTGCTCTCTTCACCTCTTTCTTGGTTAGTACTAAGCCTTAAATAAGTTTCTTCCTACAAGTAGAAAATCACTTCCTAACATTCTACCACATGTTTTTCTCATATCTAGTCTATACTTTCATATGCTTTAAGATCATGCTTTTATTATTTTTCGTATCAAATAGTTCTTTGGCTCTCTAATAGAATCCTAAGGTATCCCACAGATTCGACCCTTTGGCTAATTGTCAGATTGAAAAGACTTATTTGGGTTTATCTACTGTCATAAGCACATATAAGCCTATTTGAAAGAACTTATAAAAACAACGTATCACATAAGTTGTTTTCATCTTATTTAAGTAAGTTCAAGGATAGCTTATGAAAACAACTTAATGCGTGTTACCAATTGAACCATATTCTGGTATGCTTGTGGAACAGGTATGGCTGGAGAAAAGGTATGTCGGCTCACGCCACACCTCTGAATGGTTCAATACAGCAGGAAGAAATGTTAAGACAGGACTCATTGCTAGTGTCATTGTGTCTCAGGTGATACATTCATACTAGTCTCTTCTTATTCCACACTTTTTAGATACTTGAATTTGTTCTGCTGTAGTGGACTTGGGCTGCTACAATCCTGCAAAGCTCGAATGTTGCTTGGGAGTATGGAGTTAGTGGACCTTTCTGGTATGCTAGTGGAGCCACCATTCAAGTATGTGAAGTTTCTTATAACTAAAATAATGGAAAATGAAATAAGACTGATACTTGACAATGATTAGGTGATGTTATTTGGAATTATGGCTATAGAGATTAAAAGAAAGGCTCCTTATGCCCATACCGTGTGCGAAATTGTCAAAGCCCGGTATGTTACTTTGTTTACATACCAAAGTAGTGTTACAATTGTCCCAGACCTTGAACAGCTATAGTTTTGTAACTTGAATAGATACCATCCAAAACATTGAACACCATACAAGCTCAAAACTCAGAAATTCATTTTCTTTACACTTCCTAAACAGCATGCAACCTATCCTCAATAACCAACTCAGCACAAAAATCCAAAAATATGAAGGTTTCACTCATCCAGCATAAACAAATCTAACTAAACAAACACAAAACTCATCCAGCATAAACAAATCTAACTAAAAAAACACAAAACTAGAAGAGAGAAATCAGATCATAATCACCAACACAAATTCAATCAACATAACAAATAGTACTAAAAATAATTATTTTTACTAAAAACAAAAAGTGTATACACCCAATTTCAAAGATATATTACTACTAAAAATAAACAACAAACCATGTAAATCTTGCTTCCTTCACTTCCAAATCTGAGAAGCTCCCTAGCTGATTCAAGAGCTTGTTTAAACAAAACCACAGCTTTTGAAGTGTAATCCGGGATTGAATCATGCATATACCGAATCTCCGCGAACAAAGGGATCTGGTGTGCGGAGAAGTCGATGGGATGATGTTGTGGTAGTGGTGATGGCAGCAACGTCGTCGGCCGTTGCGGACTTGCGGTGATTTTGCATTGAGATTTGAGAGAAGAAGATGAGACTTGAGAAAATGCTTCTAAGAAAAGCTGAGAAAATAAAAGTAACATAAAAATAATTAAAACAAGGTTATTATAGTAATTGGATTATTCGGGGCGGGTGCGGGTGCGGGCGGGTCTCAGTGTCTTACCGCCCCCGCACCCGTAGTTAGAAACCGGGTTTTACCCGCCCCCGCACCCGTACCCGTTTTAGCCGGGTTTTCCCCGTTAATTTCGGGGCGGGTCCGGGCGGGGCCCAGCGGGTCTGGGTTTTTTTGCCATGCCTAAAGAGTATCCCTATATTCGAGGGACATGACCATTGTTTCCGAGGCAACCAAGTGGGAAACACCCTAGGGGTGAAAGTGTGTAATAGTGTGCTATTTCAGATATTTTATCTTGCAGTTTAGTGATCTAAAATTGATTGATTAAGCATGCACTCCTAGGTTGCTAGCAATTATATATATGCATATAAAACATAGAAGCGAGAAATAAAGGTCCTACGTTATTACAAGGCTTTGGTGTAGATACATAAGGAATTGACTGAAAGTAAAATGTGGAAGTAAAACCCTAATTAAGCTATTACAAACCGCGCGCAGTTACATCAATAGTAAAAATTAACCGTACGACAACAATAATTACGCGTGAGAATAAAAAAATGAAATAAGTTTGAAACCCTAAAAAACCCTAATTTGGCAATTGAAAATATTTTTGGGATTTTTTGTGAAAAAGATTTGAAGTTTGACCTAATTTTTCTAAATAATTTTAATTAATGAAACAAATTAAAGTTGATGAAATTAATTTATTTACAAAAATTAATTTATTGAAAAAAACTAAATCCTATTTTTTGTGATGTTGATTTTATGATTTTTATGAAAAAAAATTGATTTAAACAAAATAAATCAACTAATTTAAACAAAACAAAATTAAAAGGGAAATATAGTAAGCCTGAGGGGGGTATGAGCCCAAACTGGGGTTCTGTTGCTGAAATTATGTCCAAGCCCAATCCTGTTGGCCCTAGGTAACGTGAAATCCAGTGTGATCGTGCCAGGAGTGTCCACCATGGGCAGCTTCATTGGAAGCATTAGATTTGGGCGCTGATTGGTCCAAGCGTGTGGATCTGGAGGCCTATGGTGTGCGCGCTTGGAAGGATAGCATGGGATCTGCAAAGGATTATTAAGAAAAATAACATGTAGGAGGCAGGGATTGAACCCCTAACCTCCTACACACGCGCGCTGAAAAGCCTTCACTAGTACCACTAAGCCAATTGTTCAATCGTTAATATAAACAAACCATATATATTATATGTAATGAGAGGTCTGTGTAATAAATAGAATGTGCACCGTTCAAACTACCCAACCAAGTTTTGACACGCAATCATCTTCTTCATTGGGACTGTCGTTTTAGACTAAGGCTTTTACCTACAGACAGCGCTGTAGCAACAAACCTGCAATTCTCAAAAATCAACACCAAGAAATATAAATTAAATCTAATTATCCAGATCAACTGGGTTTGATCTCGTGAGTATAATGGTACTCATCTTTTGCCCTGATTTTGCTTGAAATAAAAAACCCTAAAACGAAGCTTCAAACCCTAGTAATGGCATCCAGTCAAATATGCATAAAAACACACAATTGAATATGAAAATATGTTCTAAATGATCATATAAGCATGACTGTATATTTAAAAATCAGTTATCATGCGTACATTTCAAAAAAACAATTTCAAGAACAAGAGAAAAACGTGAAACTTGTATGGGTGGTTTTTGGATGTGTTGATGCGTGAGAGTGGTCCATGTGATACGGTGGGAGAACTGACTTGAGGTTTTGCGTTTGTGTTTGCAAATGTTTCGGTTTAGCAAGAGTCGCCACCGACTTTTTATTTAATCCAAAGGAAAGGTCAAAAAGCACAGGAAAGACCTTTGAGATGTTTTCTTGGGTTCGGGGGGTAGATTATGAAAAGGGAAGGTGCTAGAACCCTTTTCATCCATGGTTTTCCATGGGCTCTTAGTTACTTGTTTAGATCACTTGCTTTTGCTTTTCAATTGTTTGAAATGGTGCTTTTGTGTGTGGTTTTGAAAATATTTTGAAAAGAGGCCTTTGTTTAGGCAACCTTTGTAATGATTCTTGTTTGAATGTATACAAAGGTGTTTGTCTTTTGAAAAATGTTTCAATGTTTGAAAGTTTGTTTTGGGAAATGTTTTGAAATTTTGTTGTGTGTTTTGAAATTAGCAAGGATAGTTTGCAAGTTGATCAAGTAACTAGGAGTTGTCTACCCTAACTCAAAGATCTTTCCTGTACATTTTTAACCCTTTTACATTGTTGTTTTACCATTGTATTTGGTAAACAACCTTGTATTTGGATGTTAAACAGGACAGGCGCGGGTCATCGTATGACCATGATAGCAATGGTGCCAAGTATCTTAGCAAGTTTTTTGAGGGACTAGATCATTTTTGTTTTGGCAACCAAGATAGCGTCATCGAGGGACTATGATCTTTTTGTTTTGTTTTTGTTTTGCCAAGATACCTAGCATGCATACCATGGCCATTTTTAAGGCAACAAGTGGGTGAAACCCTAGATATGCTTGTGTGCATTATGTTGTCATTTTTCATGCATTTTTGTCTTGTATTAGTCATGCTATTTATTTTGATTTTTGGTTATCATACAAACCCTAATCTTACTATCATACATATTTGAAAGCAATAAAGTGCGTAAAAGTAAATCTACATCTATTACAATTTTGATATGGGGAGGGGGATACAAGTTTGAATATGGGGTATTTGCAAGAAAATAAAACTCTAATTCAACTATTACAACCAAATTGAATTCATTGTACAAATAATAAATTGACAATTATTTAAATATGCAATATATTATAAATATGCAAAAAAATGTTTTTGTATTTTATTTTATGTATGTAAAATAAATTATTTAATGTCTTAAAAAAAAGAAAATAATATGATTATTTTTGGAAAGGGTGAAGAAACCCTAATTTTGTTTTAAGAAAATATATGTTCTAAATATTTATTTATTCATTTTTTATGTACAAAGAAATAATAAAAATAATATATACAAAAATGTTTAAAAAATAAAATATGTATGACAATATTATTTTTAAGTGTATAATATAATAAAATAAAATATGTAAGTATTTTAAAATTATTTGCAATTTATTTAAGAAAAATAAAGTATATATTATTAGTAAACTATTTTTATTCCCAAAAAATAATAAAAATAATAAAATAAAAAATGTAAAAATTAAGAAAATGTTTTTGGTGATTTTTTATATTTAGAAAAAATAATAAAAGTCAGAAAATATAAAATAAATGAGAAAATATAAAAAATAAGAGAAATGGGCCAGGGGGTGCAAAAAGAAAAGAAGGTGGTGCAAAAAGCAGAAGCAAGCTAGGCCCAACCCAACTCACTTCATCCATGTCCTTGAGAATCAGAAAACGCGCGCTCCATGTTCAAACTCGTATCTCCTGCATTTGTGCTTAAAAACAAAAACTTGCAACATGAAAGTTATAGCTTATGATCACACGATTCTAACCATGTAAAAAACTTGATCTAACTCTCAAAGACCAGAGAGAATTTAATTGGCCCTAAATCTTGACCTAGTTTTTTCAGTAACTTCAACCATCAAATACTCCTAGCCCAGTTAACATAAATGAATTCTAAGCATATGTACAGCTCAAGGGCAATGAGGACTACATTTTTTCTTCACAAACCTAAGCCTAATGATTCCTAAATAAGGAGATAGAAGTTTTTCAAATACCTGTTTCAGTCAAGCTCGAGTATGTCAATATAGGGGTTTTTGATGAGGCCTGAAGGTCGTGTTAGCTTGCCTGAAGTTCACTCAACCTTCCCCAATGCTTGGCTTGCTTTGAAATGGCCTGAATATGCTTGTAGAACTCAACCTGCAAAGCTTCAAAGTAAAAATGGTGAAGTGTGAAAATGGAGTTACAGTGACTTGAGAATGGTTGGGATAGTTTAGGTATGTTGTATGGAGTGTGTTGGAACTGGTTTCAAGCAAAACACACGAGTGGATTTTGTTTTGGAAGTCAATCTGCAGAACCTGCCCTGTTTTGACAAGAACTTGTGTTTTCGTGTTTTGGAGGGTTTGAGAACTTTCTAGCTCTTGTTTATGGCTTGGTGTGATGTGTTAAGCTTGTTTGAAATGTTACCAAGACTTGCTCTTATCAGATTACAAAATTATCTCACTTTTGCAAGCTTTCTTGTTTTTGAAGCAAAAGTGGAAAGTGACAAGGGCAAGGCCTGTACAGGCTAGCTCCAACCATGCACATAGTTGGTACATCTTTCTTGATATTAGTGAACTTTGTTTGCATAAAGAAATCAGGTCAATGGCTCAAGACAAACAAAATTTCCAAAAGCATGCTTT